ATGGATTTGTCAAGCCCGAAAACATGCTTTCATTTGTTGCTCTTAAAGAAAAATTTTTATCAGAATGCTTAGGTGGTAAATGTGAGGCACCTCGTAAAAAAGATTTTAAAGATTTAAATATTGAAGTTAAATTTGGTAAGAAATTGTTGGGTTTAAATTATAAATTTATTAATCGCTAAATTCAGTTAGAATTGTTGAATCATACCAAGTAAGTAATATAGACTGCAAAAAAATGATAAAGTTACTCTTTTAGTAATCAAAATTTGGATGAGTTTATGTCGTGCGACACGGTTTGGGATAGAATTAAAATTATACAATACTTTTTCTTGTGATTTTCTCTAAGGCAAAAAGATTTAGATCTGATTTTAAGTGTTTCTTTTTAGTTAAAACAAAATGCACTTAAGTAATCATAAAGCTATTGATAAGACATGAAATACAGTCATTCGAATTCTAATAATGCTTACTGTAAGTCAAGTACAACATGTACATCATGATATTTATCTATGTAGGCGCCACAAAAAAGCACGACAAAAAAAAAAAAAAATAGAAAAAATTACGCAAATTCCATATTATAAATAAAAAATGGGTTGTGCCAACTTTACCGTAGATAAGGAAGGATATTTCACTAATAATAAATAATAATGTATAATCGCTTATCTCTAAAATTTTGGATCAGATCTTCATTTAGACATTCTGTTCCTGGTTTTGTGCGATTACATTGTGCAGCATCTAGTTATTTAAATACCCTTATATTGCTAAACACAATTGGCTCGATTAAATGATTTCCGTTAAGTTTATTCCCCGATACTTTTTGACCCATCGATTAAGCGCTTGAGAACGGCCTAATTTTTCTTTTTGACTTATTAAAATAATTAATTATTAATCCAAACTGTGGAAACTACACTTTACACTCGTTATGACGGACTGTCGGGCTGGTAAATTCTGTCCATTATAATAAAACTCATTGTTATATTATAGTGGATTTACTAATACATATAGGATAATCCGCTATAACAATAATGGTTTTTACTATCAAAATCATATATAATCTAGTAACTGCCATAACAAAATTGTCACGGCAGATCCTCGATTTTGATTGGCTAACGGCCGAGGATCATCAAAATTTTGGCCGGCATCACATAATTGTTTACTAATTTCCGGCCGGAATTAACTTTTTAATTTTTTCTTACAAAAACAGAAATTTTTAAAAATTGGCCCAGAAACAATTTTCACTTAATGGGCGGCTGCGATTTCATTAGTAAAATTATAAGTAATTCCGGCCTAATCTTTTGATCATCGCTCTTAGCCAATCAAAATCGAGAATCTGCTGTGACGATTTTGTTGCGGTAGCTATGGTTAATGAATTGGACCTAGCTGTTGCACCAAAATAGTCACGGCAGATTCTTGATTTTTGACTGGCTAAGAACGAGGATCAAAAATTTAGGCCAAAGTTGCTTAAAATTTTACTTATAAAACCACAGCTGCCTATTAAGTGAAAAATGTTCCTGGACTTATTTTATCATTATGCGAGTTTATTTTCTATAATTTTCTATTTTTGTAAAAACTTAATTCTGGCCAAAAATTATGTAAATGATTATGTAATACGGTTCAAAATTTTGTAGATCATATCCGTTACAAAATTGGCATCAGCAAATTTTTTTTATAAAATCTATATAGATCTACAACTTTATAAAGATATTACATAGAATACTGTATAGAAATTAAATATTGATATATATTATATATAATCTATATATGAGTATTACTAACTACAGTATAACCAGTGGTGATCATCACCAGGCAGTGTTTAAAATTCAGATTGAAATCTACATGCACAAATGCAGCTGTGTTATAGGTTTCGATTGCACAAACCAATTACTAGTTGCACACAAGTGCATATAAATTTTATTTTATATACACATAATTATTATCTCTGAATAATAGCAACACTATAAAATTACTATACCAAATATAACTTATATTTTTTGATTAATTTTTCGGAATAGGGATGGGGTCCCGTAGTCTAGTGGTCTAGGCACCCCTCCCTCCACAGACAAGGTCAATGGTTCAATTCCAGCTGGAGGCAACTCTGTAATCTACGGAAGCATATGAATGTACGCGAAGCCCTGTGGCTAAGTC